GTGTGAGTAGGAGACAAGCAAAAATATTGCTAGTTTTCCAGATGCTACTGCTGTGTACACTGTATGGAAATACTGCTTCTCTGTATTTTTCACTGAAATCAGTGAACTATGGGAAAACAAGGAGGCAGGTCATAGATGAATTCAATGGCACAATTATTCTGATTTTTGTGGTTTTTAATTTTTTTTTTTTCTTCTGTCGAACTCTCAAGATCATTTGAATGTTGTTAGGAATGTTGGATTTGGTAAATCTATTGTAGCTGTCCTTAGAAATAAAAATTAAAGAACAAAATTTAAATTATTGGCTGCTGTCCTAATGTCCTGGCTACTGTTCCTGTGGTCAGCGGGTGGCCTGGTCAGCTTTTCCAAAGCCATTTTTCATTTTAAGATATTTTTATTTCTTTGAAATAGGCAAAGCCTTTTGAAAATGAGGGAGCAGCCTGCTTGTGCTGGTGTAGATTAAGGCTTATATGTGCAACAAAGTAGCTGTAGAGTTTTTATATTCTGTTTGCAGTAATAGTAAACAGAGCATCTAAAATAACCACTTGCACATTGCAACAAACACATCATCATTTGCTTAAAAAGAGTTATAATTACAGTTGACGAAGCGTGGACACCATAAAAAATGCATTAGTTTGGCTTGACACATTAATTACCTGTTTTTGCAGATGTTTTTATATATTGTTGTGTGAACAGTTTACAAAATAATTACAGGAAAGTCATATGGAAAATAAACTAAGTGGGTGGTTTCTCGCCTTAATATTTTCATTCATGTGAATCTGTGTGAGGCACAGCTGCTCTGGAGCAAATGCAGAGGGAGAGAGATGGGGAATCTTGATTTTTTTTTTTTTAAGGTCTCTGTGATCAGCCTTGCTACACTTATAACTTGCTTCAGCAGTGTAGTTTTTAAATGTGTGGAATGACATTGATGATTTAATCCCCGTGATCAGGAGGGGTGAGAAGCTTTGATCCTGATCAGATGAAACATAAGTCTTCTAATACCTTGGAAAATAAATGAAAAATCAATATTATTTTAAGCAGAATGATTTTTTATGAGCAGTTGTAAAGATTCATCAAAGGCTTTGACACAGTTTAAACATTTCTTGTTTGCTGCCATTTAAAGAACTTGCATTTCAAGTTTCAATTGTAATTAAAGAAAGATACCTCTCTAGATTGTGGGCTAACCACAGAGTGGAAATAGGGGGTCAATATGCTCACACAATGCTTCAATCAAAAGTTCTTAACTAGAATAAATTAGTTGATTCTTTTGAGAGTAAACATGTTGTGGAACTAAAAAGATTATCCCATAGCAAAATGTAATATTACATTTAAAAAAAAATGTTAAATCTGTGATGAAGATTTTGTAAGCTGTCAAATATACAGATTCGTTCTAGCAGTGTATTTCAGTGATTTGGTTTTAAGTGAATAGTTCTGTGACCTGAAATTTGTCATAAATGCTAAAAATTAGTTTAATGTGGTCTTTATTATTACTCATTACCCTGGGCTTAAGGCTTTTTAAGTAGTGTTTATTTTTAAAATTAATGTCCTGAATTTCTTTACTGTTTTTTTTTGTGAAATATTTTCTGTTTAAATGGGATTGTGTATTGCAATGTAGCTTTTTACATTTTCTTGGTTAAAGGAATTTAAAGAATAAAAAACCAAAATCCCACTTCCATAAATCCAGTTCTCAGACATCCACCTGCTAAAGTATTCAGACTGAACTGTTAATGATCTTACAAATAAGGTGCAGAAATAAGAACTTCTTGAGTAAATGTTTTGTGAATCCACACCCTCTTTTGTGGCTGCAGATTTAAATGAGCAAACAGTTGTCAAATGTTATTTTACAATTTACTCAGGAAGGAAAAGTAGAAGGAAAACTGAAATTAATATCTTGTGAAAATAGGGAAAACTAAGACAGCTCTAAGGCGACATCCTAGCATATTTGTGTTAATTACTGTGAAATTACTGAGGCATTGAAAAAAGGCAATAAACATCCAACCTAAATAGACGTAACTAACAATTAAACAGTAAGTTTGACTTTTATGATAGCCTTAGACACTACCCGGGCAGTTTTCTACCAGTCTGCTTGAAGAAAATGCTGGCTAAAGAGTTTGTTGTTGCTATGCAGATGATTTGTTTTCCCTCAGCAACTGCCACGCTGTGGGTCTAAGAGAATACAGGCAATCAATAGTGGATTGGCACAAGAAAGTTTTATGGTGCTGTGAGATGAAGTGCAGTGATGAAAGCAGGAGCGTTACTCGTCTTTTAAGAAATTACAACAGACATTTATAGAGTACTGTGTATCTATTCTCTTGTGATAATGCCAAATCCAACTTCAAACAGTTGAGTGTTATTATTTTTTTAATCCTACATTGAAATAAGACTGACAGGCTCATCTAAGGGAATTTCACTGGAAGAGTCTTACCAAATGGAGGCTGATAATACAGGTGCTGGACCTGGTACAAAGTCTTTAGAATGAGAGAAACTGCTGAGAAATCAGAACATATCCATAATACTGGATGCTGAAAGTGCACAGAATTCTGATTGTCCAGCTTTTCCACAAACCAAGTATAATCAAAGGTTTTTTGCAGAGCAGGGCTCTGTGTCTCTGTCCATGGAGAGGACAATTACTTTTCCATCCTGCTTTGAGGTGAATAACAAGATCTACAGTAGATCACTTGCAGAAGAGTTCAGAGTAGATCTTAAGTCTCTTCTGCTTATTCTTGATGAAGTCTTGACAGTTCATGTGTTAAGGTGTTAAGTGTGTAGTCATGATATGAAAAGGAAAGGCAGTCTTTATTTTATAACAGGGTCAAAATGACTAGTAGTAGACCATGGCACTAAAGTGGAAAAGAGACTCAGCTTTCTTCACACTCTAAGGATTACATAAAGCATGAGCAATATTTGATTTTATCTTGTATGAGGCAGGAGGGAAACCAGCAGCCATGAACATGAACTCTCTGAAGTGCATCTAGATTTTCATTGTTCTCTGCACTTCTAGAAAGTGTTTTAGGAGAATTGAATGGCTGGACAACCTGCCCTTTCTCCTTTAGTAAAGAGCTGGAGTTAAAGGTGGCCAGATCTGCCTGACTGAAGGCTCAGAGAGATTGCTCCTGCCCTGAGCTGCTGGAGAGACATGGCTGCAGGTTACCCCTTCTTTGGGTCCTACCCCTAGTGAAGCTGAGTGCACATCTTGCAGGTGTGCACACACTGTGTATGGACATGGTGGACCACAGACAGAGGCAGGAAGGTGTTACCTTCATGGGCACCTACATAACCACGGGCAGCGCGAACGGCCCAGCCTCCTTCAAGCTGTTCCTGGTCAGGAAAGGCCTGATGCTCACAGCTCTCTAGTAGAGATGTGATCCCCAAGGTCCATAGTCCAGCTCACAGACATTTTGTCTGACTGACATGCTTATCTGGCTTGAAGTTTGTTAGCGTGTCTTATGCACAGAGAATAATGAGCACACTAACACAGAAAATAGTGAGGAACAAAGTTTCATAAGACAGACAATGGTGGCCAGGCACAGGGCTCAGTCAAACAAGCATATTGCCCAGCAGCCTGCTTATACACAACAGACCTGTAAAATTCCCACTTGTTTTTCTCATGCTTGCCCCTTCACAGCCTTGACCTCTCCATTGAACATCTCATAATGTCTTCCACATTGCTAGAATCCACCCACTCAAAAATATCCCACAATGCAAGCATTTACACAGTAAGCTAGACATCCCATAATAAGTCTGCTCTTTCATAGGAGACTCATTCTTGATAACCCACAATAATCCTGGGGCTTTTTTTTTTTTCTTATCAGTTCTGAAGTTTCTGGTTGAACTTCTTCAAGGTTACACTCGGGTTCCTTTCATGGCCCACTGATCAGGGTCTTATGAGTTCTAGTCTTTGTCTTTGTTATCTGCTGTCAGGGTTTGTGTGTTTGCATGTTGTAGTTTATTGCCTCTCCTGTTCCTTGCCTTGTCTTTCATGTTGAGTAGCTGTTAGGCAGATATCCTTCCAGTTCCTTGCCCTCTTTGAATGTGGGTTTGTGAGAGGCACTGGCTGGCACCTGTTGGTGCAGAAGCTGGTTATGGCCAAGGCTGATTCTGCAAGTTTTGGGTGGCTTCAGTTAGGGCTAGCAGAGGCTGTCAGATCCATATGAAATCTCTGCTATTGTTCAGACTTCCCCTGGAACAGTTGTGTCTAACTCTTTTCCAGCATAGTAATCTTTATTCTTTAACAATTGTGGCTCATATTCTTTTTACCTTTGCTTGTCAGTTTACTGGTTGGGTGTTGTCATCACAAATTTAGGCTAGTGTAACAATATGCTGCTCATGATGTGAATGCCTGTAAGTTTTGGAGTGAATATAGAATTTGTGTGGTATCATGGGATTCTCACCTCTTGCATGAGTTTGGGTAGATTAGACATAACACAGTGGTAGTTTAGCTACCTGGGAAGTGAAGCAATTGGTGGAAGTGCTTCTTCCTTTGTCACTCCAAGCCAACAGGCAAGGGGCAACTAATATTGGAAAGCTGTGACCAAGAGTTGTTAGTTTCTCTCATGTTGTCTTATGGCTATTAGTAACATTTCTGTCTTTCCATTATACTTAGGAAAGCCTATATTAGAAAAATGAGGGGAAAACCCAAGTTTCTTTATTGTTTTGTTGTAGATGTCTTATTGTGTCTTCCCTAATGGGCTTTTTGGTTTTTTTTTGAGTGCAATATTCGGATCAGTGGTTTGTTTCAGTTCTTATGTTGCCATAGGGACATAGATCACAGAAAAATGAAGTAAGACTTTTTATTTACCTTAGTCTATAGCAAGGGTTAAATTGTTATTTTTGTAGAACTCTGAAATCATAGTAGCTGCTTTTTATAAGATGCATATTTGGAGGTCTGATTGTGAAGGAAACTCAAAGGAGTTTCAAAAAGGTAGAATCAAAGCAGTCATGTGCTTTGATTACTTTGTACCTCTCTCTGTACAGAAAATATAACTTTCTTTTCCTCCACTGAGGTGAATCGAGCCCAACGCGTCGAGAAGCAGTGAAAAGGAAAACTGCAGAATACCTTATGCGTGCAGAAAGGATTTCCAGTCTCTACCATACCTCCTCTGAAGATGCATCCCTTTCTATGGTAGGCTTTAATTTTGTTTTTTGCTGAACCAGATATTTGGCATAATGTACTCACAACTGGTAATGTGAACACTTTTTGATCATGCTAAGGAAATTAAATGTAAAGCAAAAAACCACACAAGACAGTAATGTTTCTTTTGATTTTCCCATGAGAATATTGCATGGTCCTGTAGAGAGCAAGAAGACTATTGGTTTCTTTAACCTAGCAATAATGGTGTATCAAAAGTGAGGTGAGCATGTGATGGGGTTGTTGAGATGGATTTCCCACAAAATAAAACTTAATTGAGCAAAGGTTCTTCCTGATCCCTTCAAATGTCTCTCTTGTATATGCTTCAGTGATCAGCTGCTTCTTGATTTTTTTTTTTATTTTTGAGTTTCTGTAGTAATTTACACCTTCTTAAGCAGAAACACTCTTATCTGTACTTGTACAAAAGACAAACAAAGCTTGTTCCATGATACCCTCAATAAATTTCTACTTTGCCCTTTCTCAAACAGTTCCTTTGGGACTTATCTGTGCTTACTCCAGACTTTTACTGCAGTTGTGCTAAACTGTGGGTGATTGTTGATGATTGCCCTGTGGTAGTAAATGTAAAAGTTACCAAGTTCCTGTCCTTCTCCATTTGTGTCAAGTGAGGACAAAACGGGCAGAGGATTATTTCTTCTTATTTTACACATCTCTAAAAATCCTTTAAGGAGACCGCCACTGCTACAAAAAAGGGAAGCTTTTAAAATCCAACAGCCTAGTAAATAAAGTAAAATAGGAAAACTGTTGGTTTTTGAAGAGTAGCTTTTCTATGCTGAGTCCACAAACACAATTTTGAGGATGTTTCAAATGAGATATATTTTGTGAGATTTGGAGTCTTGCTACTGCTATGAATTGTACTTTGAACAATTTCATATTTTGTACTGGTAAGAACTCCTACTAGGTAGTCTTTCTTTGGGTCAAACACTCCTGAAAATGGGGAAAAATCTGTACTGAAAAAAACCCTCAGTGTGTTTGGAAACCACAGAACAGGGAAAAAAAATGAAATAAGCCTATATTTGCCTTGTTGTAAGTTTAAAAACTAATCGTGGTTGGGAAGGAAGAAGCAATAGGTTGCACTTTTGTATGTGAACTTGAGAAATAAATTATTTCCTCTTTTATGCTGTACTAAATAAGGCACATGCCTTCTTTCCATATCCAAGGGAAAGTAAGATTAATTGGGGTAAGACAAGAAAAAAAAAAAGTGATGAGATGAGAATACCATTCTTCTGTGTTGAAACTCAAAATTGACAACTCAGGTCAAATCTGACTTTTCACAAGCAAAATATTGCACCTGTCTAATTGTCATTTTTACAAAAAGACCCATATTTTTAAGATTTGGCTTTGTTTTACCCAAGTCTGTGTGTATATTTTAATATCCTTTATTTGCTGCTGCTCATAATGCATAAAGTTGACTTTTATCTTAGAGCTTTGGAATTTGCTGGCATACAGGACAGATGGTGCTAGTGGGTCAAAATGGTTGTGATGAGCTTGTTTCTGAGTTGATAGCTGAAAGTTAATGGGGAGAAGGACTTATCATTACAATAACTTCAGGAGATAAGTGGTAGGAACCACTAAGCATTATCATGCCCTGTGCTGTAGCTTAGTACCTTAAGGCGAGTAAGGAATGTGACTCTTTCTGCGTGTTGGTTGCTGAGCAAACCTGAATCCTTGCACCTCAGTTACTGCTCTGTCCTTTCTGCTGCCCAAGATAGTTTGTACAGGAGTTTGCATGTGTTATAGTCTACCCTGTGCTGGCAGTAATAAGTGCAGTGAAATGACCTGCATCTGTATACAGTGTGGTTCTTGGGAGGTACTAGTGGAAACACGTAGATATTGGGTCCTTCTCCTGAAATGAAGTCTGCAGTGTACAAGATTAGTGTGTATGCCTCCTTGCACCATTGCTTCACACCAGCTTGATATTTCTCTAACCACCATTTACATGCCACTGGTCGTGCTGGGAGAAGGCTGGTCTGTTGCCACTAGCACCTCCTGCTGCTGCAGGTCATACTGACTGGTGCCATCTCTTGTTCAGCGGCTTGGACACGATCTGTATCCAGATGGTTAAATAACACTCTACATACCTTCTTGCCTCCATGGATCTCTAAAGAGGACTGTTGTCAACTCTTCTGTGCTGGAGGGACACTGATGTTTTTGAGAAGAACTGCACATGTAGGAAGCCTTTTCTAGAAGGATGGCCAAGTACTGCTACACCTAGTAGCCCAGCACAGTTTGAACCATACAACTGAAATTGTTTTGCAAGAAAAGGGTGGACAAATACTGTTCCCTAGCAGTATCTGGGCCTATGCTACAATTACAGAGTGTGGTTTTGTTGTGGGAAGCATGATTCAGTGTGAGCAACTTCATGGGCTGTTGGGGGTGCTGAGACCATTTGCACCTTGGAGGAAGAGGCCTGACTGGTAAGCAGGCAGGTAAAGCTCAGAAGTGCAGGTTCAGTCATTTTCCTGCACCCTTCAACCTCTTGTATCTCCCAGCAGCTTAGGCTGCCAGCCATGTGCTCAACCACATGCAGCAGTCTTAAGAGACTATGCCTCCTAAATGCACCCCAGGCCACCCATTTGCCATCTAGCACCATATGAAGGTAAAGCACGGTGGCTTTTCTCTGTGGACCTGGGACAGAAGGAAACAGCCATTCTTTTGTGGCTTGAAATGCCCAGTCCTTGCCCCTTGGAAGACCAGAATTCCCTAGAGGCAAAGGCCTGGCATTTCAGAGCTGATAAGCAAAAGTTATCCTTGATGCCATGGAAACCAAAGAACAATAGTATTTTGTTACTTTTCTGGCCTCAAGAAAAAGCCAAAGTGGAGCCCTCAAGGATAGCATCCTTAGCAACCACCTTGCTGCTGGCAGGTCTGAGTGGTGGAGAGAGAAGCACGAGAGGAGGTGTTTGGGAAACCCTTGGCACTATTGAAAAAAGGTTATGGGCAGAGAGCTTAAGGATGGGTAGAAGATTTCTTAAGGCTGAAAAGAAGCACAGGGAGGGAACTGATGCAGCTGTGACTGACCATGAACGGGGAACTCACTTGACAAGGTCTTGTAAACAGTGAGAAAAGCCTTGCTGTGACCTGCAGGAGATGTGGAGGTGGCTTCTGGAGGTTGCAGACAGGCATGCAGACCTTCTGGAAAAACAAGCTGCAGCAAATACTGTCCTCCTCTTCTTCCTCTGTCACCACACAGCAGCCTCAAAGTTCTCAGCCACAGACACTCAGGAATGCTGTGTGCTGGCAGCAGCAGGCCATTTTGCAGATCCTCAAGCTCAATTTTCTCCTCTGCCCCTTTATAAGTAGCAGCTCTGGGGATTGACCTGCAAGCCTGTGTAGGAGCTGTGGCAACAGCCTTTGAATCACACTGGGCTGACTGCTGGAAAGCTGCAGTATGCCTTAGCTGTCAGCTGCAAGGCACAGCACAGCCACACGTACAAGCTGTGGGGATGGTTTAACTTTGGTATTTTTATAATACCTTTTTTTTTCACTCTTTGAAATTATTTCTAATTCTACATATGCCAATTTTTTTTTTAATATTCAGAATTTTTTTTTCACCATTATAAAGCTGTTGTCCTTTAAAATGTCAATTATTTTTTATTCTCAAAGCAATTTAGTGACAAGAGGTACATACAAGCCTGATGCCCAGACAGGAGAAGCAGTCTTCACTGTCCATAGTTTTCATAAGATGTCTTACTCCCTAAATTTTTTTTATTAAATGTGCATGAAAATTACATGAAGTATAGAGAAAAGATACTGCTCTAGATCTGTGAGATTTAAATTTAACATAACATAAGAAATTCACTCTGAAGGTTTCCAAGAACATAACCAAGACGTGTCAGCTTCAGGGGAGACAGTGTCCAACTGGTAATCACTGGGGTCCTTCTGAATCACACCACAGCTCTGTCTGGTTCAGATGCTTGCAGAGATGGTACTTGGCTTTCTCCTGGTGAAGCATGAGGAAGGGGCTAGGGTGTTCTGCCAGCCCAGGATAGCTGGAAACTTTCACACCCATAGCGTGGAGTCTTGCACCACAGGCCAGCAGCATCTGCTTCAGAACAAGACGTTTCCTTACTGCAGCTGAGGGTCTGATTATGCTACAGGGGGACAGTTACTGGAGCTGTCAGACACAGGCCTCTGAACGGGGAGGGGAGATGCATTTTGATGTGCAGCTTTTCACTGGTGTTCATGAAAATGTTCTTTCCTTATGCTGAGGTTTTGTGGTGACTGCTGTCAAAGGTGACAGCATCAGCAGTGAAGTGATTTCCTATCAAATGGTGTTTGTGTCACTCATTAACATGGGAGGCTCTTCCTCAAGCTTTGCTGGTGCTGTACTTCTCTTTATTCCTCTCTCTGCTATTGCAAGTGCTGGCAATGAAGCCAAAACTGAGGCAAGAGTTATTGCCATATTTCATTGTGTAGCTTGCAAAACTAGAGCCTTTTGAAGGCAAGTGGTGGCTAAAAAGCTGCTGAGTCTTTGCAGAGGCCAGCATCACAACTGGCATCATCCTTTTCTACTTGAAATTAGCACAGGCTAGCCAAAAGATGATGGTGGGGAAGGAACTGGTGCTGCCAGTCCTGGTGGTAGCTACAGCTGTGTAGCTCAGAGCATAGGCTGCAAGTGGATCCAAATGTATAGGGGCTAGCCACAGGAGGTAAGGTCCTGGCATACCTGAGCAGTGTGCTGAGCATCTGGACAGGCTGCTGAAGGCCTTCTGCAGACAGAGGTAGCTTGCCACTTTCTTTACAATATAAATGCCTTATTTCTAATGGCAAATGAAGATTTTGACTTTTTATTACCCTCCTTCCTGTATAATTTTTTTTGTTCCTCTTTTTTTTTGATGAGAGCACTGGCTTTTAGTTATTTTTCTTCTTGCTGGCTAGATGCTGAGCTTGGGTTTTTACTCTGTTCAGAGGAGCAGGCAGTTTCTCAGAGTGCTTAATTGCTGTAGTTCTGGGAATTGGGTGTTCAGAGTTTGTTTCCAGCTTGCTTCATGGCAGAGTGTGGTGCCTGCCCATCATTGGGCTCTACTGTTAGACTTTGCAACAGTGAAACTAAAGTACTGTGAACAACAACAAATAACTTGAAACCAATAAAAATGGAGAAGCTACTGGGAGCTGTGGAGCTGTGGATGTGATTGTAAACCATTTTAAGGTAAGGAATGACTGTAGAATGCATACAGGTAAACCAGGGTGTGTGTGCAGTAGTACTGACTGTGCCACCATTGGTGATATTTTAGAGAAGGACCCAAAAATATGTACCAGGATTTTTGGTCTCTTCAAAACATGTTGCGTGCAGAAACCTGATCTATAGTGTTATTAGACAACTGTTAACTTCTGTAGAGGTGTATGACCTTAACTCATGGTTGAAATGTTATGCATAAGAGAAAATTTTTAAAGCTTGATTATCAAGGAATGGTTACGAGGTGAACTAGCATGCAGATAGAAGCTGATATCTTTTATGATAGTCCAGAGGATTTGGAAGTATTCTCTTTCATTAAATGTATTCCTTAGAATGCTTTTGAAATCTTGTAATGAATAATTTTGGTGCTAGCACAAACTGTTTCAAAGCAAATATTTTCTTCTTGGAGAAAAGCTGCACACTCTCAAAATATAACCCAACAAAAGAACTCCCTCGACCTTCCAACAGCTAATTTAGCTAACAGCCTAAATTAGGTTTGGAGAAAAAACTTCCTGTAGAGGTTTTATTTATTTATTTTTTTTATTTTTTGTCCTCTTCATGCTTAAACCTGTAGTGATTTGTAGAATCTGAGCTGTTTTCTCTTAACTGCTCTTGCTACTCTTGCTTGGTAGTGTGTTTATATGACAATTATAAGACCTGGACATAAATGAAGATAAATAACAAACTCTTCTAAATGTCCAGCCCGGTAGGTGAACACACAAGAAAAGCACACTTATTACCTCAATGTTTTTGGAACATGTGTTTATGACCTTTTCTTTCAAATTTTGCAAGCAATGCTTAAACAGGTGGTGGTTTTTTACAAAGGAAAAGTTGTTTTTCTTTTTTTTAGAAGGGGAGAGTGGTTGACTGGCAGCATGAAGGGGAACCAGTTTTGGGGAGGGCTTTGAGGAGGTGCTCTGGCCTGTGAGAATAGCACAGCAAGGATGCTGGAGGGGAAACACTAGGGGGGAAACAAATGGAATTACCTTGTTCAGGATTGTCAGTTTTTCTGGGAGTTTCTGATCATAAAGGAAAATGTCTTGATATTCAGTGATACTGAAACATTTCATCTGCAGCATAGTTGCTTACCAGCAGTTTTCTTTTGTAACATATTTGTTAAATATTGCCTCAGGATGAGGCAATAACAAATATCTCATAACAAATGAGATAAACAGCTTTTGACTGTTAAAAGCCTAAAAATCAAGGAGTTTCACCTATCTCTTAATTTACCTTTGTGCAACAGAGGCATACTTGGAAGGCAAGGTTATACTTAAAAGGAGTTTGGCATTCAGCAACTCTGCAGATGAAGTTACCTCATTTGTGAAGAAGAGATACAGGTCTGTGGTTCTAGTAGAGGCTGCATGTTGAATTTTTGGAGGAAGATCTAAAGAATTATCTCAATTGGCAACTAGAAACTTCTGAAAATGTTTGTGCCAGAGGTATATGTGACGCTTAAGAAGTTGATCTTTATCCCAGAAGACTTCTAGCTGAAACGTTGTTCCCTACTCTGACGTGTAAGCTTTGAGTTTGCCCTGAGAAACTAGAAAACATAGCATGGACAAAAGTCTGTGCATGTTAACTACCTGAAGAGTTAGCACCTGCCAATTCTTTTGCTATGGTGTTACTTTCTAGATTAATGATACATAGCTAGCGACCTTTTTCTAAGGCAATTTTAGGAATTGTTTCTGTTGTGCACCTTTTTATTAAAAGGATTTCATAAAGCTCTTCAGAGAGCAAGGGAACCCTGTTTATAACTTGGTATTTTATGTTCTTCAGACTTAACTCCTAATTTGCTTCCTCCTTCTCAGTGATCTCTGAATTATTTCATATCCAGGATGCCTCTAAGGTTTTGATTGGTTGTTGTGATGGGGTAAGAACTGAGTAATTGATGACCTGGTTCCATTAAGCATTGTCAGTATGAATATTCATTACTTTTTCTTTAAAAAAATTGTATTTTCACTGTTATTTTGATTTTTATTTACTTGCAAGTTGTTTTTTCTCCCTGCCGCCCACTAAGGACAAACAGAAAACTTCTCCTTTCATCTTCTCTCTCTCTGATTTATGATAAATTTAGTTTCCTTCGGCCTGGCATTTGCTTCAGCAGGCAGTCTTCCTTCAAGTACCACCCTGATTGATGTATAATCTTTGATATCTTCCATTAGCCTCCAGGATCACTAAGTTCAAGGCCCTCTTGGAACCTAAGAAGCCCTGCCGAGGAACTGAAGGCCTTCAGAGTCCTTGGGGTGATTGACAAGGTAATTCTTCAGTGTCTCTTCAAGAGTTCAGTCATAAATCGACTGCATGCTGACATTTTGTCTTTGAAGCAGTGGATCTTAAGGATATGAAACAAAAGGGGAAAATGACTCAAATGCATGTGCACTTTAAAATAACAAAAGTAGAAGAAAAAAGGCTTTTATCTAAGCAATTCATGTAAGGTCATGCAAAATATATTTGAGCTAACGGATAAGGTACATGCTTGGTGGCATTCAACAGAATGAGGCCTGTTTTTCAGAAATGGAGTCATGGTTACAATACTGGGGTAAGGACGAGTTGATATGTTCAGCTGAATAATCTGGTGGATACTTGAAAAATGGCAGGGTAGAAAATTCCTACTGTTGAAATGTTAATTGAAATAGGGGCTGGGGGGGGGGGAGGTAGCACATGACTGTTCCCCTGCCCTGAGAATTTGGAACTGAAAACCCTCACCAAGACAGAGATTCAACAATGAAGCCCAACTTACTTTTGACTCATGCAAATAATGTCTTCCAGAATCCCAGGGTAATACCCCTCAAACAGTAAAGAATGATATGGATTTTTTGCAAGCCTAATTAAGAGACCAGAAGAGTTGCTGCATTGTTTTGATAATACTGATTAGTTATCACCTTACCAAATACTTTTAACGTGATGTATTATTCATCAGTGTGGCAGTGACTAATGCAGACTGTAAAGGCTCATTTCCTTTTTGCTGTGCCAATTCCCTTGTGCCTTTTGATAGTTCCTTGTGTAGTCCCTGGTTTGTGCATGATGTACTGATGCATGGTCAATTTATGTATTTGTAATGTGCATCAGAGAAGCCTGTAGCCAGTCTCTTAATGTCTGCATTTCTTGATTTCTTTTTCTTATTGCACTGAACCCAGCTATGAGGAATGATTTTTGTTTTTCTTTGCCTGAAACAGGCAAATTCATTTTAATTATGTGCATAAGTTGATAACTTCTCCTCAGAGGGCTATATACATTAGGTATTATGGTTGTTTTTATAGCACACAAGGTTTTCTCAGCTCTGATTTGATGTTCATTGTATCTTCTCTCCTCAGTTGTAAGTAGAGAATTTAGCCTCTGTTCTACTTTGTATAGCTATTGGAGAGGCAGATTGGAAAGAGCACCTGTCTGTTTGCTTAGTAGGCACTCACTAAATCAGTAGGCACTGGATGGATGCAGTAGGCATGGACTTTTTCTTTCAGATGTCTTGGTACTCTGCATACTTGATTCCAGATTCTCCTTATTACAAACTTTCTCCTTCTTACAAACTCAATCTTATATGAAAAAGACAGCATACTCAGAATATTTTTAAGTGTTCATAAACTTGTGAGGCAAATGAAAAGCTACTCTCAGCCCAAATGGTTAGAGCATGTTTATTTGGTTTTACAACACATACACAAACTGCATGTGAGTATGAAGCAAGAGTGTGCACATATATCTGTGTGCTGGAGATGATGCCCCTGCCTTTGGTTTGAGGCACCATCTCATTTCCTTCCTCACCAGCACTGTTCCTTGCCTCTTTCTCTGCTTGCATAAAGCTCACATTGTGGAGAAATCCAAATAATGTGCAAGTATCCTTGCTGGAGCCAAGCCTGTGACGTAGCATGTTCTTGAAAACGGATTCTGATGCTTCAGGACCAGCATTGAAGATGCCATGCTTTGGGGCACAAAGTCTGTAACTGACACAGAGTTTTGCCTGGAAATACTCTTCTCCCTTTCTAACCCTGAGGTCGCTGCTTCAATTTCAGTAGAAAAAGGGTGTGTGGATTTGTAATAAGCCACTGGCATTTTTACTGCTGTCTTGCCTGATCCTGTGCAAGACAGGCTTAAAAACACTGTCTTAAAAATGGTGATTGGTTTGCAGGCTTGTTCTCCCACTACTGTTTGAAGCCCAGGGTGGTGTCTGCTGGCTACAGTGCTGCCTCGAGAAAACCAGCTGTTAACCTGCACTCCATCAAATGCTGAAAGGTTCAGTGCCTTCCCTTAGAGTAATGTCAGTCTTTGTTCTTCGTTTGAAGCCTCTTGAAGTGTTTTGAATTGGCTTCATTTTCACAGACAAAATGCTTGTTGTTACCTGAAACTCTGGGTTTTTATTTTTTTTTTTAAGCCTAGGCAGAATGATTAGGTGTTTAATTTTTGTCTCATTTATTCCCAGTGTGCCATTTTTCCCTTTCTGCCTTTCCACCTTCCTTGTCATCTGGATAATTTTTGCTGTGTTGACCCTTTCATGAGATGGAGACCTTGGCATTATTAAACTCCTTAAAATGTTGTGAAAATTCACAAAAGAATGGCCATAACTGTGCCTCCCCTCACATCCTTCTGCTTCTGCTCTCATGCAAAAACTGTGGTATAAATCCAGCTATTTTAAGACCCAAGAGGACCTACACTTTTGTAGAGGAAACCAGGTTTCTTGAATTCTTTTGCTGAATTTGCTCACTTGATGGTGTCAAAGGTTAACTAGTGGAGTTTGCAGGTATTTTCTGTATTCCTTATGGGAAGAGTCTGCCTGTGAGTAGATTTCTGAAAATAGAGGTCTAATGTAATTATGAAGGTGGCTTTTGTCCTGCAAATGTTGTGGACTCTGAGGTGCTGCTGACTGGGCATCAAAGCTCTTGTTTAGTGCTACCAGAGGTACCGTGTTGAAAGCAGGCTAATGTCTGAATATTTTACTACTGTAAGCACCGACCAAGAAGGGTCAATTATCAGTTCACGTACCTTAAAACAGAAAACTTCTTTTTGGAATAGCAAAGATTTTTGCTTTCAAAATTTTCCTAATTAAAAATCAAGGTTGCAGATTCTGTGCTGAGTTTCTGCCCTAGGCAAATCTTTCCTTTGAAGCTGCAACTGGCCCCTAAAGAAATGACTTTGTTACGGTGCTGCTGGATACCTTCACAGTGCTGTTTCAAACCCAATTTCTTATTCTTTAGAACCCTCTGTTATTTAGATTCATTCAGTTTAAAGATTCATCTTGAAACCAGATTGCATTAAGTAATTTCTAAGCCTCTGCAACCAATAACTGTCTTTTCTGTCCCCTCCCCTGGTCCCCCATCAAGGCATGTTATCTGCATTGGCACTGGTGTGGCTGTGATCAGTTCTTCTGTGGATATCTGTACATTTGAGCCTGTTCACTATGCTGGGTTTTAAGCTTTATTCCACAATCTGAAACTTTATAAAATCAAATATATAAAATATTAATAAAGTAATTTCTAAAATTATTTTGGGAGTTTCTGAAGAGAATTCTAGAGGTAGATAACTTATGATGTTATTCTGAACAACTAGAAGCAATTTTGTTGATTTTGAGCATAGGTTAATTTTTGTGGCTGGGGGGGTTTGTGCTATGGTGAGTAGCTGTAACACTCATGGTAGTACATTATAGTACTGCTGAAGATGATCAGTGGGCTGGAAAACCTCTCCTACAAGGACAAGCTGAGAGAGTTGGGGTTGTTCAGCCTGGAGAGGAGATGGCACTGGGGTGACGTTACTGGGACCTCCCAGTATCTGCAGGGGGCCTACAAGAAAGCTGGGGCGGGACTTTTTACAAGGGCATGTAGTGACAGAATGAGGGGTAATGGCTTCAAACTGCAAGAGGGTAGATTTGTGAATGTGGTGAGAATACTGGAACAGGTTGCCCAAGCAAGTTGTTGATGCTGCATCGCTGGGTGTGTTCAAGACCTGACTGGATGGGGCTTTGAGCAACTTGGTCTAGTGGGAGGTTTTCCCTGCCAATGACAGAGGGCTTGGAACTAGATCATCTTTAAGGTCTCCTCCAACCCAGACCATTCTATGATTCTGTGATTTTGATGAACTGACCTTAGAAATATGCAGAAGAACTAAATCAGTATTAATTATTTAGAACGTGTGATTACTGCTTTTCTGCTTGATGAGTGAGAGTGCCAAAAACCAGAAGTATATAGAATGTATGCAGAGTGTGCATGCATAATCTGCAGACCTGCAGTTGAATTCAAACAGGTTATGTATAGTGTTTAATCAGAGGAAAGGAGAAATGGGCTCTTTTTATGGCAGTGTGTGTGTGCTGTGCACGTACAACAGGACATAGGTGACTACGTCCTGTTAGTGTTAGAAACAAACCTGAGGCAGTGTTCAAGACTGTTGCAGGTGTGAAATTTAGTGGACTGCAGCAGATGTTTTCTGTCACCTGGCTCTCAGGTGCACATTGCCAAGCAGCTTTAGATCACCTGATGGATTTGAATGAGTGGCTGTGTGCACATAAGTGTGGGGAGAGAGGGAGCTGCCAGAGTGCAGACATCAGTTCTTGTTTCATCACGATGCTTAGGAAGAGAAAATGGCTGAAAATGTGTTCAAGTGAATTCAGCTGACCAGCAAGCATTCCTCACCCAAACATGGCATAATGGAAATAGCAGTGGCAAAAACGGTTAAAAATATTAAACTGAGTAATAATAGTAACTATTAATACAAATAAAGAAATTTTTAAGAGCTTGCTTTGTTTTGATAACCCTTTAGTTTAAGTGACTTGCCAAGTCCTGAAAGATGAAATAAACTGCAGAGTCCTTGTCAAAACTCATTTCTTGGCTCACTACCTTCCTTTCCCTCCTGCTGCAGGATTATTCCTAAGCTACAGTCAAGTCTCAAGCCCCAGGTAGCAAAGCTTGCTAAACGTTAAAACATGATCTCTCTCTCAACTGGAAAGAGTCTTGTCTCTTCTCCCCAGCCCTCAAACACCTGCCATTTGTTTTCTGAAGTATTTCCATTTGTACCAGTCTGAACATTTCTCAGTGTTTTTTTTATTATAACCCTTAGTTTCTTAGCTTCTTTCTTGTTTGTCTCACTAAAATGTCTTTTGACTTTAGGGAATGTTTTGTTTCATCTGGCATAAACCAATGCTCAGCAAAGGTTTCTTGCAATCCAAGTATTGATGCTAGGATCAGGTGACCCATTTGTCTTGTCACTGGTTGTCTGTCACTGCCTGTAATGGGATTTTCCAACTGGTGAGGTGAACGCAAGGAGAAGAATCCAA